CCCAGACACTTCATGAAGGGAATTGTCTGGGGGACATAGAATTCTGGCTGTGTGTTTTTGTAAGAACCTCCCTCGGCAAGACTGACAAAACAGAACAGCATCAGAGGAGTTTCTGATGCTGGTATTTATAGGCCCAGGCTGACAGGTGTGGCAGCTAATAAGAAAATGCTCCAGCAGCCCTCTAGCTGGGCTCCCCCCGTCTCTACTCAATACCAGCAGGCTCAGATGCCTGCAACGATGTGGTGGTTAACAGACAAATGTAGCTAGGTTTCGTTATTGTGGGGCATCTGCGAGGGCAACCTCAAAGCATTTCCTTTTTTTTTTCCCAGCTGCAATAGCTCATATCCTTGACAGGGCATAGGAGTCATGAGGTTAGTGCAAGAGATATTCTGGGGCTGACAGAGCTTCAATGTGCCTCTAAAGTAACATCCCAGACACATGGCCTATTAGTCCTCTGAAGCCTAGTTGCATACTGTGTTCCAGAATCAGACTCAAATAGCAGTGGCTCTGTTTCTAATGCCAAGTAATAGCAGACAAAGGAAAACAGTAACTACTGCTCTTACCAAGAAAATTCCACCAGTGCCAAGTTGTCACTGATCTCTGGCTGGAGTCTCCTCCCTGGTGTGGACTTGGGCTGCTGTGCTGACAATCCAGCAGGGTGATAGAGAGTAAAGGGCAGGTCACTTCCAGAGCTACCTGGGTAGGTAGTTACAATGACTGAACACAAGGCAGCTTTGTAAAGTTATTCCGAGGATCTCTCCACGCAAAATATTGAAAACCAGTGATGTGGACATTAATCCATCACTCTAAGTAACCAGCTTTTGAAGTAACAAAGATTTCATGTAAAAGTGATAAAGCAAATGACAAAGGCAGAACTTCTACACAGAATTGTAGCAAATGGGAAGAGTGCCATAGGACCAGGGACAGACTAATATTATCCTGATATTCAAAAAATGGAAGAAGCTAAAGTCTTCACACTTATGATAAGCTTTGACTTCAATTCCTGGTAAACTGTAGAAGTGCTTATTTGTGAATACTTAGAAAGGGAAAAGATAAAACACCATGAACTAGGTAGGCTCTTTAAAAACAAGGCATGCCTTAATTTCCTCAACTGTAAAAATGGGGTAATAATAACACCTACCTCCTAGGGTTGTTGTAAAGCATTTAGCATGGTTCCTGACACATATTAGGCACTTTATAAATGTGTGTTCCTTTCCCTTTGATACATTCTCTCCTTTGCTAGGTAGGTAGTGTACTAAAGTGCTGAATTTAGAGTTAGGAAGACCTCAGTTCAAATTCTGCCTCAGACCCTTAACAGCTATATGGCCTTGGGCCATACGTAATTTTTCTGCGCCTTAGTTTCCTCATCTGTAAAACTGGGATAAAATAGGTGGTGCAGTGGAAAGAACACCAGGCCTGGAGTCAGGTAGATAAGTCTTCCTGAGTTCAATCAAATCTAGCCTCAGACATTTATGAACTGTGTGACCCTGGCAAATCTTTTAACCCTGGTTGCCTCAGTTTCTTCATCTGTAAAATGAGCTGGAAAAGAAAATGGCAAACCACTCTAGTATCTTTGTCAAGAAAACCCTAAATGAGGTCATGAAGAGTTGGACATGACTGAAAAACAACAAAAACAAAAAAAGCACCTACCTCACAGAGTTATCGTGAGAATCAAACATTAAACATTAAAACATTATACATTGAAGCAAAACATTAAAGCACTATATAAATGCTACTTTTTATCATTGACTTCATCAATCCCTGTGTTTAACTATCACCTCTACCCAGAGGATTCCTATAGCTATATGCCGAGTCCTAGTCTCTATCCAGAGCTCTAATTTTATATTATCAACTGCCTACTAGATGTTTTGAGCTATATGTCCTGTAAAGCATCTCAAATTCAGCATCCAAAACAAAACTCATCTTTTCTCCAAAACTCATCTCCTCTTCCCAAATTATCTATTTCTTTCCAGAGCATCACTACACTTCCAGTCATCCACATTTGTAACCTCAGGGTTATCCCACACTCCCCACTCACCCCACATTATGAAATTAGTTGCAAAATCTTATCATTGCTATTGCCATAATATCTCTGTCTCCTCTCCAATTACATAACTGCTACCCCAGTTCAGGCCCTAATCACCTCTCAGCTAAGTGGTATAGGGGATAGAATATTGGGCCTGGAGTTAGGAAAACCTGAGTTCAAATCAGTCCTCAGATACGAGATTTCGAGACCCTGGGCAAGTCACTTTACCTCTGTTTGCTTCATTTCCTTAACTGTAAACTGGGGATACTAACAGCACTTACTCCCCTAACCCCACCCAGGGTTGTTGTAACAATCAAATTTGTAAAATGCCTCAAGTAAAAGGGCCTGAGTTCAAATCTTGTCTTTGTCCCTTACTACTCATGTGGCCATGGGCAAGTGATTTTAACTTCCCTGGGTCTCAGTTTCTTTAACTGTAAAATGGGGAGATTGGACTCAACCGTCCCTCAGGTCACTTCTGGCTCTAGATCTAAAAACCTATGGCTAGTGCTTTTGGAACATTATTTTCAGAGCAGATGGATCATAACGGGGAAAAACTAGAAGCAGAAATGCTAGTTCTAGTGCCAAAATGCCCACGTAACCTCATATATTACACAAGTACAATGCTAAAGTTTATGGAGTTAATATTTTAGAATTAGAGAATTTAGAATTGGAGAAGCAATCTCCAATAACATCTAATTTTTTGCTTTGTAATTTATTGTCCTTAATTATAAGCCTAGCTAAAACTCTACTTTGTTTTTATTATTTTTCACCCTACTTCCTTCCATTTATTAATCACAAACATACATCAGAACATTTCTGTAAAGTAGGTCAATATATCCCTGAACACTTGCTACTCCATGTTCATTAATATTATCCTCATTTTTCAAGCCTAAAATGGCCCCCCTCTTAATCCATTTATGGAATGCTGTGCAAGTTAAATAGTAGATCTACCTTCAAACCTTAATAGAGCCAGTACAGGACCCTGAACCCAAGACTTCTGGGAATAGTGACATTAAAATAATAACAATAAAGAAGAGGCATTCCCATCTGCAGCATAAGTACCAGGAAACTTTTCCATCTGACTTGCAGCTAAAGCCTTCCGTATGTATCATCTCCTCCATTAGAATGGATTATCTTTTCTATTTGTATCCCCTCCCCCTCATCCCCTCCCCAGCACACTGCTTTGTACATAGCTATTATTAATGTTCATTCATTCATTCATGCTAGCTCTCATGCTGATGAGAATGGTGAAAATATTTTAGATATTTTATAGCAAGTAGGGACAGAATTGATAGGGTAACTCATTTCTATTTTAAAACCACCCTCTTAGCTACAGTAAATACATGAAAATTATTTGAAACTCACTTTATAGAAGGGGTTTTTCAGAGGGGATCTATTATTTCATTGGTGTGGGGACCTGCAACTTTCCACTTCCCCTCTCCCTCTTATATTGAGTGTCCTTTTCAAGTGTTACTTTGCTTCTTTAGAGTGTAACCTCCTTGAGTGAAGGCTTTTTTAAAAATTTGTATACACACCACTAAGCACAGAGCCTAGTACTTAGTAGGCACTTATAAATGTTTAGTTGACCTGCTGTTCCAAGTTTTCAGCTTTAAAAGTTGTCTGGATCATTAGAAAAAAGTTGCTAGTATGTCAGAGCATTTTAACCTAGGTTTTGTTGATTCTGTGAATGCTTCTCTATATTGGTTTTGTATCATAAAATCATAGATCAAATTAGAAGAGTCGTCAGAGGCCTTCTTGTCCAACTTTCTCTTGAAATGACGAAAAGATGAAAAAACTGAGTGTGGGGGAGCCCAAGTGACTTTTTTTAAGTACCTTTTTTAGTTAAGTGACTTTAGGTGATTTTTACCAAGACAATTTCTTGTGACCTTGGACAAATCACATTACTTCTATAATCTTCAGTTTCTTGGTCTGTAAAATTAGGAGGACTCCTTCATCCCTAAGGTCTCTTCTAGCCCTAAATCTTCGACGATGTTTGTTGTTGAATTGAAAGGACCATCGAAGGTCGGGATGATGTTTGAAGTCTTTTTCTTGGCACTTAATCAGCACGAATCACAGGTTTTTTCACTTCTAAATTCTAGGAAATGGCAGAATAAGGACAAAACAGTTCGATTTCAGGATAGCCTGAAGTAGTCAAGGACGGCAGTGCAGTAACTTTTTAAAAATTCGACTGAAAATGATAAGAATTGTTTCCCAATTTTCCAGTTTGTAAAACGTGGAACTCCTGACCAATGGAGGGAGGGGTTGGTGTGACAGTTTGGAGGCCGCAAGGGGATCAAAGGGCATTTTTTAACAGTACGCCTCCGGGCCCCTCGATCTTCCCCCCGCCCCAGCCCGGTCTCCCGCTTCCCTCAGTCCTTTCCCCGCCTCTCTCGCGAGCACCTCCTCCCAGGGACCTGGCGGAAGCAGTGGGACCACCCTTCACCGCACTGCGGTCACTAACTTTGAGAAATCCGCCCCGGCTCCCGAAAATCTCCCTTCACCTGCCCTCCCCCCACCCCCACCCTGGCGGGTCAAAGCCAAAGGCAAGGCCATTCTCAGCGGCCGAACGTGGGGCTCTCGCGCTGACGCTCAGCCCCGCCCACCAACCGCTCCCACGTGACTCGCGCGCCCTCCCGCTCCGTCTGCTCTTCCCCTTTCCCCTCCCCTCCCCTCCCTGCTGGTCCCGCCCCGCCCCTCGCCCTGCGCGGCGCGCCCTGCCACTCTCCCGAGCCGCCATTGTTCAGCCGCGGGAGGAGGCCTGGTCCCTGGCGCCGGCGCCGACACGCCGCTTAGCGGTGGCCCCTGGAGAGGCTGCCTCCTCTCCCCTCCGCTCCTCCTCCTTCTCCTCCTCCTCTTGGCGGCGAGTAAGTGAGGCTGCCTGGGGGACCCGGGAGCAGCCCTGTCCCCCCGGCGGCTCGGGCCGCGATGAGGTCGGCCTGAGCGGAGCGCTCGCGCGCCGCCTCTTCCTGCCTTCCTCCGTCCCTCGCTGCCCGCGGCCCCTCGGCCACCCCGCGCGTCCTCGCTCCCCGGCGCCTCCTCGTGCGGGGCCCCGGACCCCCGAGGGAAGATGGCCGCGGAAGCGGCGCGGAGCTGGCTGGACGCGCTGGCCCAGCAGGCCGAGGAAGGCTCGGCCCCGCTGCGGGAGCTGCTGTCGGCCGGCCTCTACCTGCTGCGCACCGAGCTGGGCCTCGACTTGGGGCTGGAGCTGCACAACTACCCGGCCTGGGTGATCCTGCTGGGCACGGCCGCGCTCGGGCTGCTGCTGCTGCTCCTGCTCGGGCTGGGATGGGCCGCGGCATGCGCCGGGGCCCGCCAGAGGCGGCGGAGCCCGCCCCGCCGGCGGGAGGAGGCGCCGGCCCCGGCTTCGGCCCCGGAGGACGGAGCCCTTTTGAAAAGCCTCAAGAGCGAGGATTCGAGGAAGAGGAACCGGAAGAGACTGTCCGAGAAGCCCAAGGTGAGACCCGGAGGAGGGATCCGGGGGTGGGGGGCTGGGGGCTCCGGCCCCAGCAGAGCCTGCGCCCCGGGGAGGGGGGCCGGGGGCCGGGGAGGACCTACACACCCTCCGGGCTCTGATTCAGAGCGGAGGCGCGCTGGTTTCCCATAAGGGCACTTCATGGGGATGGATTGGACATGGACGTGAACTTGGGACAGAGGGGCAGCCGGCTCTAGGACGGTGAAGTTCCGAAGGCCCGTGGCGAAGAGTGGACAAAGAGAGCCGACGAGGCACGCCAGTGACCTCCCGAGACCGAGCCGGTCTTGTGGGCCCTTGTGACCCCCAGCGTCTTCAGAGGCCTAGCTGACATGTGCAGACGCTGACACTGGATTGGGACGTCATGGTGGTGGTAGGAGGAAGTTGTGTGAAGACGAATTCTGGCTTTGGCGAGCAGAAAGCTAGAAGAGGTGCAGTTTCCACATATATATTTAGAAGGTGCCTACAGAGGAGGAAGACACGTGGAAGACGCGTTAAGCGTCTGGAGTTAGTAGCACCCACCGCACTAGCTTCCATGTTGGAAGGGAAATGGGTGTTCTCCCATAAGGAATAATCACTGGGGATAGAGCAAGTAGGGAGATACCTATATCCGTTGGGAGATATGACCTGGCCTAAAGGCCAGTGAAACAAAATGTTGAATCTAACGGACCATCGAGGGTCGGGATAATAATTTCTAATACTTTTTTCTGTACTGTATGTGCCCCCAAAGTTGAAAAGTTGTGTTGAATGAACTAGAGTAAAAGTAGTATGACTGAGCAAAACTCTGGGAGATCTAGGCATTCATTACCTGGGCCGCCAGTGGAAATGAATATAAAAACTTTTCATTTGTATTAATACAGCCATACTTTTAAGTTTTCCTATCTTCTCTTTAAAAAAAAAAGACTATTTCCCTAGCTGTGTACTTGTAACCCACTGGGAACAGATTATACACAAGTGTTAAGGAAAGAAAAAAAATTTGTAGTTCAGAAAATATTAAGGCACTGTGATGTGCCTTTGGGCTGTCAATATGAACCTAATAGTGCTTTAAATAGACTTTTTTACGTAGACAAGTAACTATTGTATGTATGCAGTAGATGTACAGAGTATGATGGGAAAGAGTACTAATTTGACCTCTAGTGAACTTGTTTTTTTGTTGTTGAAATATGTAGAGAATTTTTTCACCCTGAGTCTTATTTAAAAAGTTGCTAGTGAGAAGTGAACAAAACAGATTTTAATTTTATGATCATTGAGATGTGCATTTATTGAACCAAGTTCCTGCCTTCAGAGAGTTTATGTGGGAATTAAAGGGGAAGAATTTGTTCTTTTTCAGTGAAGCTGACTCCATTTGGGGTTTTCTTAGCAAAGATACTGGAGTAGTTTGCATTTCCTTCCTCAGTTCATTTCACAGATGAGGAAATTGAGGCAAAGAGGGGTAAATGACTTGACCAGGGTGAGAGAGAGAGAGAGAGAGACAGAGAGAATATGTGACACACACAGACCAGATTTGAAATTGGACTTTCAGGCCTGCTATTCCATCCACTGCGCCACCTAGTTGTCACCTCAGATACACTCAGTACCATGTATTAACCTTTGTACTTTGATGAATGAGTATAATATTCATAGGATGAAACTTAGATGTAGATAGAATGAAAGGGAACTTACAGTATGTGTCTAATCCCTTCGTTTTACAAATGAGGAAACAGGCTCAAAGAAGTTAAATGGTTTGCCCAAAGTATTTTCAAAATTATTTGTCTCATTTTTGTTTATGGTTCAGCACAGTGGACTACTTCAACTTTTCAAATTTGTGAAAAAAAAAGTTGATTCAAATTTGTGTACTTTATCTGGGCATGCTCCCAGAAAACTAAAAAATTGAAAATTCTTACAGTAGTGTGTTAAGATTAGGATGCTTGTTTTGTTTTTATGAAGGGAAATGAATTAATAATTTTCTAAAATGCCGAGTTGTATTCTAATTTGGAATAAAGGTCCCCAACTAGATGTCATCCCGTCACTATTTTTTAAGTAGAGCACTGCTAGAATTCATGGCCTGCAATATTCTACATTTGTATTTTATCAAATCAAGAAAGATACTGAATTTCAGGTTGTGCAGTTTTCTTGGGAAAACCTCATAGTTCAAATGAGATGAATTATTCCAAATTCTTGTGAATAAATGAATGCAAAAACATTTATTTAGTGCTTTCTGTGTGCAAAAAGCACTATGCTAAGTGCTAAACAGTTTGCTCTCAAGGAGCTTCCTTTCTGATGGAGAAACAGCACCTATAGAAGATTTCAGCTACAAGACAAAGTCCTCATGGTCCTTAGGCTGCAGCTGTAAAGCAGAAGATAATGCATCTTTAATTTTTTCCCCTTATAAACTCATTGTAATACTTATTTCTTAGGTTGAACCATTTAACAATGCCAAAGACTTTGGTGGCAAGAACTTTTTGGGTGGCCTTCAATACTCTCTCTGGCTGCAGACACAGTTGACAAGTAGCTTCTCCACAAGATATGAGTGTTGAGTCCCTACTGATTGGAAACTGGGCTGTTGCTGTAGAGGGATTTTGGATTCAGAATCCTTAGCTCTCCTTTAGGGTCTGAGAGAATGGTGTTCAAGGTGGTGGCTTTGATTTGCCTGGCACATACTACCTACTCTTTCTCCTTCAGTGTTTTTTTGCTGCTTCAGCTTAAGTTGACTTGCCTGCTATGTGGATGGCAGTTGGTTGGAAGTTGATGAGGGTAGCTGGCCTCTTCTCTGTGGTTGCTATTCTGGCTGATGGTTGTTGGGCGTGGAAGTACTAATTTGTTGATAGTTTTTACTCAATTTTGGCCATGAATATCTCTGAATTCCTGAAAAGTCAAGTCAGCAAGCATTTATCAAGCACTTACTATATGTCAAACACTTTGTAAACTCTGAGGATACAAAGAAAAGTAGAAAGACAGTCCTTGGTCTCCTTTCTTTTTCTATTCTTTTCTTTTTGGCTAGGCAGTAGAGTTAAATGACTTACCCAGGGTCATATGGCTAGTAAGTGTCAAGTGTCTGATGCTGGATTTGAACTCAGGTCCTCCTGACTCCAGGGCCTGTGCTCTATCCACTGCTTCACCTTGTTACCCCAATATTCCTTGCTCTGAAGGAACTCAACATGCAAAACAACATGCAAACAATTACGTAGCACAAGGTATATCAGAATAAATTGGCAATCATCAACTGAGAGGACTCTTAGATTAAGGGGGTTTGGGAAAGGTTTCTTATGGAAGGTTGAGAGGATTTTAGCAGGAGGTAGAAATATGAGGTGGGAGAGAATTCCAGGGATGGGGCAGGAGGGGAATAGCCAGCGAAAAGTGCCTAATATGTGATAGGCATTGTGCTAGAAAGACAAGAAGTGAAACAATCCTGTCTTCAAGGAGCTTTATCTTCAAAATACAAGGTAAAGAGATCTGAAAAGACTTCATGTAAGAAGCATTAGAGCTGAGCTTTGAAGGAAACTAGGGATTCAGAAAGGCAGGATGCATTACTGGCAAATGTGGGGCACAGGGGAAGCAACAGAATGTTGCATGTGAAGGAACAAGTAGGTCAGTTTACCAGTGAGAGTGCTTGAAGGAGAATAATGTATGCTATGGCTAGGAGGTCCACTGAAGCCAGGTTGTGAAATTCTTTAAATAAGAACCAAGAGTTTGTATTTCATCTTAGAAGTAAATAGGCACCATTGGGGTTTATTTAGCAAGAGAAGTTAGACTGAGAATATCACTTTGGCAGGTGTGTAGATGGTAAATTAGAGAGGGGTAAAGGGAAATAAGAAGACCACCTAGGAAACTATTGTCTGGAGGAGGGGGTATAAATGAAAAGAGTGGCTATCCTGTGAGTAGAGAGGAGGACAATGTGAGACATGTTGTGGAGGTAGAACTGACAGGTTTTGGTAATTGACTGATTTTGGGGTGAGGAAGAATCTGTTGTCTTAAGATCAATCAATAGTGAATCTGGATGACTAGGTTGATAATAGTGCCCCTGACAGAAATAGGAAAAATGTGGGAAATAGGTGGATCTAAGGGGGAAGATATTGAGTTCTGTTCTGGACATGTTGAGTTTGAGGTTTCCATACCATCTCCACTTTATAGTTTAGCATTTGATTAAAAAATGGATTATGTCTTATATATTTGTGTGTAAATCTTTCCAAAAAGATGGCAAGTACCTAATGGGTGTCTGCTGCTGTGTGCTGTCTCTTGCCTTACCCTCATCTCCAATGCCTGCCACAGTGCAAGGAGGGGAAACATATACATGCATGTATGTAGATAAGAGACAATATGTCGTATATATATGTATAATTTTTTTCTTTGTTCCAGACCTGTGATGTCTAGTAAAATCAAGAAGCATTTATTAAGGACTTACTTTGTGCCAGACGCTGTGCTAAAATACTTGAATATAAATATAAGCAAAAAGAAAGACAGCCCCTACCCTCAGGGAGCTCACATTTTAAATATGAAAGATAACATATGAAAGAGTTGTAAAGTGTGGAGGGCCTACTAAGGGGCATGGTGGAGAAGTCCAGATAGAGGATAGCTGGTCTGGGCCTATCCTCAAAATGAAGGTTCTAGGAAGAACAAACCAGTGGAAGGAAGGGGGCAACAAGGTTGAGAAAGAAGGCAGCTAAAGGATGGTGGTAGAGGCTGTAGAACGAAATGTAGCTGGTATGAGGAAGGCTAGGCCCTTCCTCAAAATGGAGGTTCTGGGATTAACTCATCATTGGGAGGAGGCTGCAGGAGTGATTTGTATGAGGGACTCCAAGTGATGAAATTTCCTCTACTAGTGCAGATGTGTAGGCATCTGTTCTGCAACTTAAAAGTCCTAGAAATTTGCCAGGGTGCCATGAGAGATTGTGTCAATGATATTTCTCTCTCTCTCTCTCTCTCTCTCTCTCTCTCTCTCTCTCTCTCTCTCTCTCTCTCTCTCTCTCTCTCTCGCACTTGGGGCTAAGTGGCTTACCCAGGGTCAC